ATTTTCAGGAGCCCAATATGTAATCATCCAATATTTGACATTTTGCATATTGAGCCCATCAGACGTCAAGCATCAGGCATCCCTGCTCAACTGCCTTTTAAGTACTGAGGATTGAACCCAGAGGTGCTCAACCACTGAGCTACAGCCCCAGTTGTTCAGTTGTTTGTGGGTTTTTTTGTTTTGTTTTGTTTTTTGTTTTGTTTTGTACTAGGGATTGAACCCATGGCAAGCACTCTACCAACCAAGCTGTATCCCCAGCCCCCCCCTCCAGTTATTTTTATTTTAGGGTCTTTCTAAGTTGCTAAGGCTGGCCTTGAACTTCAATCCTCCTGCCTCAGTCTTGGAAGTGCCCATTCTCTTTAAAGGCTGCAGATACTAAAAATACAGAGAAGCTACCTTCCATATTGAAACACAATGACTCAATACACATACTTCCATGTATACTTTTATCCTCTTCTGAAATGAAATCTTTACAAATGGATTATTAAGGTCAGAGACCAACCTTGATCTTGACCTATGCAAGATGCCTGGAGACTGGAATAGGTGAATGACTTGGTCCCTATTCTTTGGTAGCTCACTCAGTTTAAGGAGATAAGTAAGATGCAGGAAAATGGAAAAGGAGATTTTAATACATACGCTGTTTCTCTCAGTAGTAGCCCCATCTTAGGAATTTATTCTATAGATAGGCAGCACCCAGGCACCAACAGATGTACTTGCTGTTAATCATTGTCAAAGCCAATAACCTAAATGTTCAGCATTAGGGACTTGAGTAAGCATAGGCCATATGGTACTCATATGGATCCATCTCTAAGTGAAGTGAAGAAAGAAATGTATGGAACAATGTTTCATATATTGTTTTTGTAGTTTTAAAAATACAGGCATACACATGCTTGTAAATGTATATTCCTGCATTGTTCATTAACCCATGTGGCTATGGAGCCCTTGAAATRTGGCAAGTTCAAGTTGAGAAATGCTGTGAGTGTAAAATGCACATTGGATTTTGAAGATATCCAGGTTTTAAAGCTATCCATTGGATTTTGAAACTGTCAAAAAAAGTATGTAAAATATCTCATTAATAATTTTATTGACATGTTGCCAGTTTCAAAGTAGTCTCCTGTGTTTCTTTTTATTTTTTATTTATTTAATTTTTTTTGCAATGTTGAGGATTGACCCCAAGGCCTTGGGCATGCTAGGTAAGCACTTTACCACTGAACCATATCTCCTATTTCCTTTTTTTTGATTGTTTATTTTTGTTTTGTAGCAGGGATTGAACCCAGGGCACTCAAGCACTAAGTTACATCCCCAACCCTTTTTATATTTTATTTTGAGACAGGACCTCTCTAAGTTGCTGAGGCTGGCCTGGAACTTTCAATCCTCCTACCTCTGCCTCCCAAGCTGCTGGGATTACAGGCATGGGCTACCATGCCCAGCATTTTATTATTTTTTTTAATGTTGTTATTACTAGAAAATTTTAAATCCTATATGTGGCTCACATTCATGSCTGCTATTACATTTCTACTGGCTATAAACTATCTTCTGTAAAATATGTAACGCATTTATAATAGTAGCTGCCTGTGGGGAGGGGTCCTGAACATTGGTCCTGCTTCACTGTCTTTTTGTAACATTTAAATATTCAACTTTGTTTGAATTTGTGGTGCCATGGTAACCATTTTGGAGGGGCAGGGATACCCAGGATTGAACTCAAGGGCTCTCAGCCACTGAGCTGTATTCTCAGTCTTATTATGTATTTTATTTAGAGACAGGGTCTCACTGAGTTGCTTAGCCCCTCCCCATTGCTGAAGCTGGCTTTGAACTTGCAATCCTCCTGCCTCAGTCTCCTGAGCCTCTAGGATTACCTAAAACCCTTTAACATAGCTGGGTGTGGCTGCCCATGCCTGTAATCCCAGCAACTCAGAAACCTGAGGAAGAAATATCACAAGTGGGAGGCCAGACTGGCAAGACTGTCTAAAAATAAAAGTGACTCAGGAGGCTGAGAAAGGAGGATCACAAGTTTGAGGCCAGCCTCAGTAACTTAGCAAGGCTTTAAGTAACTTAGTAAGACCCTGTCTCAAAAAATTAAATAAATAAAAAGCTCTGGGAATGTGGCYCAGTGGTAAAATCCCCTCTGGGTTCAATCCCCAGTACCAAAATAAATAATTAACTACTTAAAAGAAGTGCTGGAGGTGTAACTTGGTGGTAGAGCACTTGTCTAGCATGTGGGAGACCCTGGGTTTGATCTCCAACACACACACACAACAACAACAACAACAACAACAACAACAACAAAACATTAAACATGCCATTAGCCATGACAGAAAAATCCACAGGGAGGGGAAGTCCCACAAAGGTGAAGCTGTGTGGTAGCTGGCTTGGAGAAACAGAAGGGATTATGGAAATAAGAAGTTTATGCACCAATGAAAAAATAGGGGAAAACTTTATAAAATAGTATCATAGAGATACTACATCTCATTAAAGTTGCATGTTACTATCAAAAGTAACTGACAAGCCTAAAAATGCTTTATTTGGTAGCATTCGTTACAAATTAAAACAACAACAAAAGAAGTATGTTTGCTCCTCTTCTGCCCAGGCCCCAGGGGTCACATCAGATGCTCTTGAATGAGTTTACAGTTTGATGTGCTTAGTGCCAGGGTATTTGCTTCCATGGGGAGATGGAGCCTTCCATAGCCCACAGGTGTCCTGAACAGAATATGGCTAGATTTGGTCCTGTTACTATGCTGGTTGAAAATATTTCTTTTAACTTAATTTTATGGACTGGTTTTTGTTTTAACTGAGCACATACTCCATGATCTAATTGGCAAAAGGAGATTCAGCTGGACACACAGAGCTGACATGCAGGCCTCCACCTGTGGGATRTCAAAGGATTCCTGAGATTTTCAGAATCCACACAGCAGGTGGTTTCCTCTTCAAATACCCTGTGGGGATTTGTGTGGGAGGGGGTGGGGAGGTGGAGACCTGCTGTGTTGACTCTCTAATTGCAACCCTCAGAGCTGTTACACTGCCAGTCTTTGGAGTAGAAGCTGTCCAAGAGAGTGGAGCATTCCCGTCCACTCGGGGAACTAAGGCCATTAATGTAGATAGGAGCTAGCTTCTAGAAGCTAGGTTTCTAGCTTGAGTCCCAGGGAGAATGAAGGGGGCGGGGGCAGCTATCCCTGCCTGCCTCAGCAGTATAGCTCCTGGCACAGCAAAGGAACTGGGCAAGATATTGAGAAGTTCCCAGTTCCCACCTTGGTTGCTCCTCTCACAGGCTAGGATCTTTCTTTCTCCTTTCCTCTCATATTTGCTGACCACCTGGTGCCCGCCCTCCCTTTTGTCACCCCCACCCAGTGTCCTAGGACAAATAGTTGGGATTGCTAGGGAAAGTGCTTTCCTGCTTTCCTGAGCTGTGCCCCGTCCCAGCCAGGAGCCTCTCTTCCCTGGGGAGATAGGATGCAAAATCTAGCTTTTGAGTGTAGCCCTCCCAGCTCCTTCCAGGGAAATAGGCTTGGCTGGAAGGTGATTAGATAATTAGAAGAYGATCATTGTAAACTAATGACAAATTCAGCCTCCCTCCTCATCAAAGAAACTCCAATTAAACAATATGGTGTCATTGACACCAAATTAGCCAAGTCATCAGTGGGAATGAGATACTTCTTTGGTCGCTGACAACCCCCCAAATTCCAGAGGCAGAAATCCAGGCCTAAACAGGTTCGGTGGCACACGCCTGTAATCCCAGCTACTGGGGAGGCTGAGGCAGGGGGATAGTGAGTTCAAAGCCARCCTCAGCTACATAGCGAGATCTTGCCTCAAAATAAAAAAATAAAAAGGGCTAGGTTGTGGTTCAATGATTAAGCGTTCCTGGATTAAATCCCCGGTACCAAAACCAAAAAAAAAAAAAAAAAAAAAACTCTGGGGCTGGGGCTGTGGCTCAGAGGTAGAGCACTCGCCTAGCACGTGTGAGGCCTTGGGTTCAATCCTCAGCACCACCTAAAAATAAATAAAATAAAGGTATTATGTCCAACTACAACTAAAAAACAAAATATTTTTTTAAAAAAGAAAAAACTGTGAATGGTATTTATGAATATAATGCACTCCACTACTGTCATGTATGTAAGAAATAAATTAAATAAGAAAAAAAAATGAAAGAAATCCATGCCTAGGCCAACTGTGGCGTTGCCAGGAAAAACTTGGGTCACATCCAACCTGGCGGCCTCCGCTCCTCAGTTCCGGTGAATTTGTGGTGCCCTGTAACCCTTTGCGTGGGGGAGGGGGACGGGTACGGGGAATAGAACTCAGGGGAAAGGGGGCTGGGCCTGGGAATTACGTTCTGCGGCTGCTTGGCACTGAACGTTGCRTGGACAGGTAGGCTACTGGGGTCAGAGGCTCCTGGGAGGGAGCATATCCTGGCTCCACCTGCCCAACCKTGTGACCTTGAAAAAATTAATGAACTTCTCCATATCTCAACGCTTCTGTCGGTAAAATAGTACCGGGAACGCGGACGCGCAGCACAGCTGTGTTTGGCAAACTTCCCTGGAGCCAGGTGGAGCATCTCAAGGTCCCTACCGGGTGGTCGTGCGCAATGTTACACCTCGGGGGGTCTTCCTGATGCCCCCCCCCCCCCGGAGGTCTTGGCTTCCTCTGGGGTATGTTGCTCCAAATCAAGTCCCAAGAGGTGGAATTCTGGAAATTAGAATCCTGGTGCCAGGGATTGGGGATGAGTGGGCGTGGCATAACCCCCAATTCCTGTGCCTGGAAAGTGGGCGGGCTGGGCTTGTCCAGTCTAGGCGATGCTCACCCGGCGGGCCCCGCCCTCGGTCCCGCCTTCCTCTGACCGGCGCCCCCATTGGTGGCGTCGGGCGGCGCGGCCGCTGTTATTTTTCGAATATATAAGGAGGTGGAAGTGGCAGCTGCAACGAGAGGTTTCCCCGGCTGCAGCCTGAGTCCCGCGTCCCTCCACCCCTCCCCACCCTCCCCGCATCCCTTTCCCCTTGGGCTCCCTCGCTCCCGGTCCCGTTGCTCTTCCTCCCTCCCTCCCTTACTCCCACCCCGGCCCGCTCCCTCCCTGGCCCCGGCCAGCTGTGCTGGGCTTCTGTTGGTCGCCTTGACCGGGCCCTGCAGCCAGCTTTTGCCTGCCCCGCCGCGATGGAGGTGCCCCAGCCCGAGCCTGCGCCAAGCTCGGCTCCTAATTCTGCCGGCTTACGGGAGAGCGCCCAGCGTCCTGGCCACCTCCAGGGCCTCTGGCTGGGGACTCATGGTCTCCTGGAGTCCCCGGAGCTTGCGGTCTCTAAGTCTCCAGTCACCACCCTGACCCAGACCATGCACAATCTCGCCGGGCTCGGCAGGTAGGACGCCCTGAGAAAGCCGGGCGTGGAAATGAAGGAGGCCAGGACTAGGATCCTGGGACACTGGGCACGGGAGCCCAATCTAAGAGGTGGAGTGGGGAGGCTTCCCGACAGAGCAGAGGCACCCTTGCCCCGGCTTCAGGAGTCCAGGGCAAGGGCATTGAGACAGAGACTGTGGCTTACACCCTCCAGGTGACCTGATGTGGACCCTTTTTCCCCTCCCCCTCCCTCGTTTCGTCTCTACCACGCTGTCTCCCTAATCACTGCCCCAACAGCCACCATTTTGCCCCAGGCAGGGAATCTAATTCCGGGCCTAGAGGGGGAACCTGAGGGTGGCATAGCTGTGGACCCTCTGTTCCCTGCACCACCCCATTCTGCCCCCAGGGTTAGTGATTAAAGAAGGATCCTGCTCCCTAAGACAGTGTGTAGGGAGGCAGGAGGGTGCTGGTTGAGATGCCGGCAGCAATAGAGACCTAGGTCTTGGCCCTCCTTCCTGGAAGGAGCATGAATGGATGTGATTCTGAGAGCTAGGGAAGCTACTCTCTACCTACTTTGCTGTCTCCCTCTCCGACCCCTCTGGGCCCCAAGCCCAGCCTCCTTGCTCTTGTCCCTGGATTGATTCATCTCTCCCTGCACCTTGGAGAATTTTTCCTAAAACAATCAATCCAGACAAGACAATTAATAGATTGAGCCTTGCTGATCTGAGAGGAGGGGTAGACCTGATGGGATCAYCTCCCACAAGTTCTTCTCTCAGTGAAGGGGCTCCCTGGGACATTGTAGAGGCTGGATGGGCCCTTCAGAGGTGGTGGGATGCAGGAATAGGGGCCGACCAGCCCTTGAGTTCTACATATTTATCTTTCTCCTTTCCTGRGTCCCTTCTCCCTCCCCAGCGAGAACCCAAAGAGTCTGCCCTTTCGAAGCCGGCTGACACACCTATCCCTGTCAAGGCGGGGATCTGAATCTTCCCTGTCATCAGAGTCCTCTGAATTTTCTGACGCAGGTGAGACCCAGGGTCCCTGGGGAGGTCCCCAAGTACCAGGAGAGTGGGGGAACTGCTTGGGCCTCTTGACTTCCCTGCCCTTCAGATTAACATCCTTCCTACAACCTGAAAGGCCTAGCAACCTCCCCTAACCTGCCCACAAAGTTGGAAGACATACCTCTGATGAGGCTCACCACACCCAGTGCATTCTGTGGAGAGGGTAAGAGGGTGGGGCCCTCTGCGGAAGGTGAGATCTTACCTATTTAAAACCAGGCGCCAAAGTCTCTAAACCGCAGCCCCACCTGGAAGGCATTTACAGTTGAAAGTTGGTCTTTTAGAGCATTCTCTTATAGTCTGGAATGTTTTTCTAAAAAGCTGTTGTGTCTTCCAAAGTATTTTAAACCAATTTAAGAAAAATGCTTAGAAAAATATACGTAGAGGAGTTTCCATAGCGAACAGGGAGCCAAGCCCTGTGCCTTTTGATGGATAGTGTGTCACCCTCCGGAGCAGTGGGTAGGTTTTTGTTTCATTGTTTAAAATAAAGTGTCCAGATTTAAAATAGAAACACGYTTATTTTTCTCTTCTTTGGATGCTGTGGGGAAAGTATACAGAAAATACTACTTTCAGATCAAGGTGTTCTGTCCCCTTAGGTCTCTGCATGGATTCCCCCAGCCCTATGGACCCCCAGATGGCAGAACAGACGTGAGTAGAGAAGGGGGGTGGATCCCTACTACCAAGGACTCACCACTTACTTTTGGGAATCCTAGTTCTACTAAACTCAGTGGAGAGGCCAGGGAAAGTAGTCAGATCCCTCAACATTTGTCTGGGGCTAGTTGACCTTCCCAGACCTTGCTCCCTGTTTCAGGGAAGGGTCTGCTCTATGGAAACCAGATGAGAGTGGGCTCAGGAATGGTAGGCAAAGCGTTCCCTGGGAGCAGAAGATGGCTCCCACTAGCCAAGTCTGTTTTTCAGTCCAAGCCCATATGTCCCCTTTGTTTGCCCATACATATTATATGTGTGTGTTTGAGAAATACCCACTAATTCAAAACTTTAATTTGCTTTAGGCCAAGTTGCACACTGTTGGCTGCAGACTGATTTGGCCCTTGGCCCATTAGCAATCTCTAGTTTCATGACACACTTTACTCTCTGTCCAAACCCTGGAAGTCAAGAGAGCTGGTGGTCTCTGCTCTGGACGAATACCTCTCCCTTTGTTAGGGGTTGTGAGTAGTGCCTTCCAGAAGACAGCTGTTCCCATCCAGCTGTTAAGGCACAGGCAGGTGGAGCAGCTGCCAACCATTAGTAGGGGCAGCTGGGTATCCCCAGCCTGAGCCGGGGGACTGTGGCTTTGGGTTTAGGGCAGTGACTGTTTCCTCCCTTAGCTTTTGATCCGACTGGGCGGGGTACAGGGTTTGTTCACAAACAGGAAACAGAATTGAGTGGGGGTGGAGGGCAACACAGAGCTGCCCTTGCCTTACCCCTAAGGACTAGGTGCAAACTGGAAATGAAGCCGATTAATTGGTCATCCTGATGCCAAGTTGGCTGAGCACAGCCCTCTCATGAGGGGACAGGGACACCCCTTGATACTTTGGCCCAGAGTCCCTCCCCCCCCTGCACCTGCCTTGACAGTTAGTTTCTCAGAAAGAAGCTGGTGTGTGTGTGAGTGTGCACGCACAGATGCACAGAGTTCCCCATGGCAGGTGGTCTCCAGTAACATAGCTGGGGGGCGGGGCCTATATACAGAAGCTTATGCTTTAGCTTCAAAAGGAACATCTGTTGGAATTCCTTGCCTGCTGGCCTCTTCTAAGGCAGGAGGAGGGGGTGGAACAGAGGCTGGGTCCTGGAAAATTCCATAGGAGGGAGGAAAGGATGTGACCCTGTACATTTGTCACTAGGGGGTCTGCTGTGGCAGACTGGRGCTGGTCCAGGGGGCCATTAAAGCAGGCCCCTGTCCTGGAAGGAGCCAGACCAGCTCCTCACTGGGGGAGGAGAGCCCAGCCTTGCTGGCATCCACCCCTGACTAAACTCACATTGCTGGATGCCCATGGCCGTCATCATGGGGTGGATGGATGCCTTCCCTGGCAGCCATATGGCCCCACTTAGGTGATTTGCATACAGGTGGAAGGCTTGTATGCAGGCTGGCGAGACTGTTGCCTTGGTGATATCTCAATGACCCTGTGACCTGCCCCAGCTGTCTCCTTCATTGCTTGTCTTTGGGCCCTCTTCCATTCAGGGAAGCCTTTAAAATTCCAGGCTGCCTCTCATCTCCCCTTCCTCAATACCTGGGCCCCACTGACAGTGGGCCTCTTCCTCCCCCTCCCTTTGCTCTGGCCTGAGCCCTGGTCCTTGGGCCTTATGATTTGTGGCCTAGTGCTGGGCGTAGGTGATGGGATGTAGAGGAAGATGGGCCACATCTTCTGTCTTCTAGGTTTGAGCAGGCCATCCAAGCAGCCAGCCGGATTATTCGAAAGTAAGTGTCCCTCACCCTCTCTGCCCATGACAGGCTGGCCCCCAGGGATGTCAAGGGATCTAGGGGAGGGATATCTTCCCTGCCTTTAGTCCCTGTCCCCAGGGACTTTTAGCTGTGACTTTTCCCTGTTTCCTTCTGCAGTGAGCAGTTTTCTATCAGACGTTTCCAGTCCTTGCCGGTAAGTGTCCTCTGAGACCCAACAGAAAACATAGGGGTGCTGACTGGGTAGGGGCACAGGCATCCCAGGGCTACCTCCCAGTTGGTTGGGGAACATGGGGTTTCATATGTGGCTGAGCAGGCCAGGGGAGTTGGAGGAGGGGCAGAAGAGAATAGAGTCTAGGCTGGTGGCCAAGAAATGCAGCCTTCAGTATCTGCTGCCCTTCCTGGCTTCCTAGGCACGGCTGCTGGGCCACAGCCCTGTGTTACGGAACATCACCAACTCCCAAGCACTGGAAAGCTGGAGGAAGAGTGAGGCAGGTGACAGAGCTGCCGGCAGTCCTGGGGAAGACAAAGAAAATGTGAGCTGCTTCTGGAAGGCCCAAGTGGGAAACCTCCAGGGAAAGAAGGGGGCATGCATGCCTGGTGGTTCTCTGGCATCCGGTGATGCCCCTCCTCTTGCATCTCGCCCACAGAATGGATTTGTCTTCAAGATGCCATGGAAGCCCACACATCCCAGCCCTGCCCATACTCTGGCACAGTGGGCCAGCCGCAGAGAGGCCTTTACCCAGAGGCCAAGCTCAGCCCCTGACCTGATGGTACATAAGGAGAGCTGACCCTTTGGAGGGACCTTAGGATGTAGCTTGGGGGAAGGAAAGGGTAGCATGGGACCCCCCTAGGCACTGAGAAGGAAGGGGTTGAGGACTGATTCTGGTCCTCCCCACCACTGAGTAGCCTGTGCGTGTTTGTCACTCTGGCAGTGTCTTACCCCTGAGCATAAGATGGAAGTAGAGGAGCCCAGCCCCTTGGCTCAGTCCTGCTCTCTGACCCCTGCTGAGGCAACTACTGAGGAAGATGATGGATTTGTGGACATTCTGGAGAGTGACTTAAAGGTAAACAGTCTTGGCCTGTCAGGTCCCTACCTCTCTCCCTGGGATGGCCCAAAAGAGAGGCTCTGAGCCCCAGCAGCAAGCAACATGACTTCATTTCAATGTCAGAAGAAGTATTTGAGGTAACTGAGTCACAGTCTGATCTCTGGCCAATCAGAGAAGGGCAAGTGACTGGTGCCACAGTGGAGGGGAAGCTGGGCAGGGTGAAGGGACGTGCGCAGCTCAGTACAAGCCCCAACAGCAAGTAGGTCCCTGCAGCTCTGGGGGTTTGGGGGGGTGGGGGTGCTGCTCTGGGTAGAGAAGCTTAGCAGGGTCTGGGAGGGCTGCTGGCCTGGTGTTTGCTGAGGGGACAGAGAAAGTTGTGCTGGAGGATTCAGGCCTGAGGGGTTTGACTTGTGCCTGTAGTTGTGACCATGTCCTTGCTGATTTGACCTTAGGATGATGAAGCAGTTCCCCCAGGCATGGAGAGCCTCATTAGTGCCCCATTGGTCAAGACCTTGGATAAGGAAGAAGAACAGGTATGCCTCTGGGGTGGCCCCCTCTGGGGTGGCCCTGCCCTCTGGGTAGAATTTGGGATTAGGGATTGAATGTTCTGACCCCTGACCTGCCACCCTTGCCAGGACCTCATCATGTTCAGCAAGTGCCAGMGGCTCTTCCGCTCTCCATCCATGCCCTGCAGTGTGATCCGACCCATCCTTAAGAGGCTAGAGCGGCCCCAGGACAGGGACATGCCTGTCCAAAATAAGCGGAGGAGGAGTGTGAACCCCCTGGAGGAGGAGCAGCAGCCTGAGGAACCTGTGAGTGCCTTTCTCCTGGGACTGGGCTGTCACTATCACCTTGATGTTCCACTCACTTGGTCGTTCATGGCAGAGGGTAAGGTACAGCTGGTATTCTGGGCATGGTAGCACCGAGAGAACAGATAGCCTCATCCTTGACCCCTGCATCCTTCTGCCTTGCCTCTTAGAAAGCCCGTGTCCTCCGCTCAAAGTCCCTGTGCCATGATGAGATCGAAAACATCCTGGACAGTGACCATCGTGGGCTAATCGGAGATTACTCCAAGGTACCAGCACAGCATGGGGCCCTCAGGAGGCTTACCCTATTACTAATTGGGGACCCCTGCCCCTGGAGCTACTTCTGTTCCTCCTCTCTCCCCAGGGACTCTCTTTTCTTTGTCCTTTGTTATCTTTGCATCCTATGTTCCCATGCAGACTTCTCCCTCTGGCTCTTCTTGGTCTCCTGACTTTACCCAGATCTGTCTAGGCATCCATTGTACCTCAGCCTTGGAGAACATTTCCCACCTTATATCCATGTCGCCCCTCCTCCTGCCTCACTCCTGGACATGGTAGGCCTATGGGGCAGGAAGCAGAAAGTTCATGTTTTCTATTCCCTCCTTCACTTCCCCTTGGAAGGTTGTTCTCTGGTTATCAGCCCCAGGAGGTGCCTYTGGGTTGCTATGGGAACCAGAACTGAATTTGAAGGCCAAAGCAGGTGTGACCTCTGGACTTGGGAACAAAGCTCCCTTCCTTTTCAGGCTCCTGCTTTTACCAATTTTACTTTCTCCTTTCTTTTATCCCTTCCCTTCAGGCCTTCCTTCTACAGACTGTGGATGGCAAACACCAAGACCTCAAATATATCTCACCCGAAACGATGGTAGCCCTGTTGACCGGAAAATTCAGCAACATTGTGGAGAAGTTTGTGATTGTGGACTGCAGATATCCCTATGAATATGAAGGAGGGCACATCAAGGTGAGGTGGGACACTGGGCAAAGGCCTGAGGACCCCACRTGGCTCAGGCACCCTACTGCAAGGCTCAACCAGTAGAGGGCCCATGTGTGCCTTCTCATGGTAGGGAACTTGCCCAAGAAAGATGGGGTCACCTATCTGGGAACAGCAAGGGGGAGGGGGTCTGCCTCCCAGGTGCAGGGCTGTGGCCTCACCCCTAGCATCTCTTGACAGACTGCTGTGAATTTGCCTCTGGAACGGGATGCTGAGACCTTTCTGCTGCAGCACCCCATCATGCCCTGTARCCTGGACAAGAGAATCATCCTCATTTTCCACTGTGAATTCTCATCTGAGCGTGGGCCCCGCATGTGAGTCCCAGCTTTGTCTGCCCAGCCTGCTAGTGCCTGCCCTTGGCCTTTCCTGCCCAGGCTTGTATGTGCTGGAGCTGTTGGAATGGCCAGAGGGGTGAGCCAAGCCTTTCAGCCTGTGTCTCTGGTCCTTTGCTAGTCTGTTTCAGGAGCCCTGAATATATCTCTTGAATTGTGTCCACTCATCACCTCTCTGCTTCCTCTTTCCTGGGCTAGGCCACAGATTTCTCTACTGAATATTGTGCAACTGCTCTCTGGAAATAGAGCTTACCACCTCCCTCCTGCCATCACCCCAGCCTCTTCTTTGCCCAATAAAGACCAGCAGACTTATCCTCTACTGGCTGATATTCCTGTGCTCAAAAACTTGTATGTGGGCTGGGGCTGGGGCTTGAGCTCAGTGGCAGACCACTTGCCTAGCATGTGTGAGGCACTGGGTTCAAGTCTTAGCACCACATAAAAATAAAATAAAGGTTACAAAATTTTAAAAACAAAACCTTCTGTGGCTTTCCCAAGGCCTTCAAAGGAACAATTTTTTCTTGAATATTTCCAAACAAAGTATAAAGATGAGGGAACAAGTCCTCTCATCTAGACCCCACCACATGGCCAGCTCTGATCCCCCCATCCCCCACTGTAATGTTCCAGGTGCCGATTTATCAGGGAACGAGACSGTGCAGCCAATGACTACCCCAGCCTGTACTACCCGGAGATGTATATCCTCAAAGGCGGCTACAAGGAATTTTTCCCACAGCACCCGGTACATGAATGGGGGTGGCTACATCCTCTGGGTGATAGACTGCAGGGAAAAGGCTTGGCCAGGTCATAGTCCTAAGAGAAGGAGAAGGAAGGGCTGGCTTCCCCTTTCCTCCAAATTGACAGACCCCTTCCATCCTGCCCTAGAACTTCTGTGAACCCCAGAACTACCGGCCCATGAATCACGAGGCCTTCAAGGAGGAGCTGAGGACCTTCCGCCTGAAGACACGCAGCTGGGCTGGGGAGCGAAGCCGGAGGGAGCTCTGTAGCCGGCTGCAAGATCAGTGAGGAACCGGTGCCAGTCCTGCCACCATCCTGGCCCTGTGAGGCCCTGGTGCCTATTGTACCATGGGCCTTCTAGAGGCCTCAGGTGCTATCCAAGGGAAAGACAGCATGGGTGTCCTGTCTGTCTGCCCCTGTCCCTGATTTCCCTTGTCTCACTCCAGTCATTTTCCATACCCTGGAAGACCCCAGCCTGGTGGGTTAAAACCAGGTCAGAGGAAATATTTTGTGTTCAGCAGGRACCTTTTTGCTTTTCTTCCTTCCTGTTTGGGTCAACTCTTTTGTCTTCCTGGTCCAGAAAAGTCCCTTTATGTATGTGTCAGCTGAGGCTGTTGGGAGAGCCTTGCCCCTRAGGACMAGGATGGGCCAGGGCTGCCCCTGCCTCTGCAAGAATCATGGGTRTGTCTGCACGTTGCCCCTTTCTTTTTCCTGTCCCTCTGTCCAAGCACCYCCAGTGTAAACATAAGCTCTTACTCTTTCCTGTTGCAGTATTACCTGCRTGCTTGATTTSTTTGTCTAACTTTTACCTGTCCCAGGACACAATCACTGGCTGTGTAGTCTCCCCCTGTCCAGTTGGGGTTAGAGATTCAAACAGCARTTACCCCCTGGTCCTGGCTTTTGTTGCCCCAGAAAGGGATGTTATTATCTTTGGAAGTCCCTGAGGAAGGGGCTAAGGCCTGAATCAGGAGCCTACTGGAGGCCCCAATGCTGTGAATCCTAGGGCCTGACTGGTCAGAACTTGCTGCTGTCCTGTCATGGATGGATGGATGGATGRATGGAYKGACTGTGGGHGSRTGGATGGCCATGAATGCATGGTGCCTTGCACACACATGTGCATATAARTTGAGTGGAAGCATTTTGGTGAACATGCTAGCCTGTGGCAGGAATGTATATGTGAACAAAAAGTCTTTACAATTCATTTGGAAATATTCAAGAAAAAATTGTTCAAGAAAAAATGTGGAAGCAGCTAAACCAAGGACTGAGCAACCTCTGGATTCTGAATCTCAAAGTGGGGGAAGGGTTGTGCTTGAAGGCCCCATGAGACATCTGTTAAGGATCATCAATAAAGCACTGAGCAAGTTAAGAAAGCAGCACTGTGATCTCTGGAGCCCTTGACAAAACCAAAGCTGACCACAGTGGTGGGACTGGGGCAGGGAGCAGGCCAGCAGAGGCTGGAAGGCTTTCTAGTAAGGTATCTCAAGTTCCCTTTCCGTCTTCTCTTGAAGTCTTCGATTTCTTGTATCAAAGACACTCCTGCCAGAACTTTCCCCTCTCCCCTCATCTGACTACCCAAGCATTTCCGAGCTTACCTTCCCTAAACCCTACACCCAATGGTAAGAGTGAGTGACCCCAGCATGCCTCAAGAACTGTCAATGGGATGGGCTGGAGTTGTGGCTCAGTGGTAGAGCACTTGCCAAGCATGTGTGAGGTACTGGGTTCAATCCTCAGCGCCACATAAAAAAAAAAGTGGATGAAATAAAGGTATTGTGTCCATCTACAACTAAATAAAAATTTAAAAAATCATTGTCAATGGGAGCCAGGTGCAATGGGGCATGCCTGTAATCCCATTGACTTAGAAGGCTAAGGCAGGAGGATCATAAGTTCAAAGCCAGCCTCCGAAGTTTAGTGAGGTCCTAAGCAATCCAGTGAAATCCTGTCTAAAAATAAAAAAGGCTGGGATGTGGCTCAGTGGTTAAACACCCCTTGGTTCAATCCCCGGTATCAACAAAAAAATTGTCCGTGGGGCTGGGTGTGGTGGTACACACCTGAAATCCTGGCTACGGCAGAGGCAGGAGGATCACATGTTTAAGAGCAGCTTCAGCAATTTAGTGAGGCCCTTTCTCAAAAAGGGCTGGGGATGTAGCTCTGATAAAGCACCCCTAAGTTCAATTCCCAGTAAGGAGGAAATAAAAAGAAATTGTCAGCAGGACCAGGTACAGTGACATACACCTGTAATCCCAGTGACTTCAGAGGTGGAGGTAGGATTGCCAAACTCGAGGCCAATCTGGGCAAGTGAGACCCTGTCTCAAAATGAAAAGCTGAGAGTTCTGGGCATCGTCATACTGAGACTTGCTTGCTCCACCCTCCCCCCTGGTTTCATAGGAAGGCAGCTGGACGCAGGTCGCATAGCAGATAAGCAGATCAGGCATTCCAGCCTGCCCAGGATTCTCACCCTTCACCTCTCACCTTGGTCCTAGCAGCCAATGGGGCTGGAGGGCTGACCTGACCTGTCACTTGTGAATGTCCTCTTCCTGCATTATCCAGATCAGGATACCTGAACAGGAAGGAGCATGGACCCAATATCTACAGCCCCCAGGCCTGTGCCAGGTGCTGATGTCCGTGGCCACTTCTGTCCCCCTGAGCCACCATCAGAGTCATAGCGGCAGTCATGAGACACTTAGTAAGATGCAAACGCTTTTAGACTTATAGCCTCTTCAGCCTCCCTGGAGGACATTTAGCTCATTTTGCCAGAGAGGTGGGAGGTGGCCTCAGAGAGACACTTAGACAAGTCAGGAGAAAAAGTCCCCCAAGAGAAGCCCAAAGTGGGTTCTGGCATCCACCTTGAGGGAGGCAGGGACCTGGATCTGGGCAAAGGGCGCTGTGGGTTTGCCTCTTGGCTTTTGACTCAGGCCAGGACCTGCTTCCTATGGAAACTTCAGGACACCAGGAAGAGTGCCCCATCTCCCTTCCCCCATCAGGGAAGCTTTAACTTTCTTCCTGGATGCTCTTAAAGAGAAACAGATCAGGCAGGGAGGCTGTTTAAAATCCTGGGCTGCCAGCCAGTTTTGAAGGTTGTTTTGCTGGGGCCAGGGCGGGGCAGGAATTCCAGCCTGCCAGGAGCCCAGGAGCAGCCACGTGCTGTGCATTCACATGGTTAAAGAGCTGTGTGGAGTTGGGCACTAGCACAGGGAGCTGGGCGTTGCTGGCCCAGACAAGGCAGCAGGCACCAGTCRGGTCTAGGGGGGGTGGGCATGGGGGAAAGAATTTCCATCTGATTCATGGTCTGAGCTGCACACTCAGTCACTTTTTTTTGCAATGACAATGTTTAAGGACACTTTTTTTTTTTTTTAAAGGAAGAATATCCAGCATTTCCTCAAAATCACACATCATCAGCATAGACTCTGGACCTGAAGAACCAACCACCACGTGGGGTAAGGTTATTTCTAGCATTTTAGGAGGTCCCTCATGTTCTTCCCATGACTCTCACTCCATAGGTAATTCCTATTGTGACCTCTATCATGGTAGTTTGGYTTAATGAAATCATAGAGTTAGTACTCTTCTGATTTTTTTTTTCATTTGGCCTAATGATTTTGATGTTCATCATGTTCTCATTTAGTGAGAATTTGTTGCTGAGTAAGTAGTTCATGATATGGATATGTATCCTTTAATTGGATTAATTCATTCTACTCTTTTTTCTTTTGTATTTATTTATTTATGGGACTGGGGATCCAACCCAGGGTCTCACACATGCTGGATAAGTGCTCTACCAACTGAACTATATCCCAAGACCTCTTCTGTTTTGAAATGTTTTTTTAAAAAAATTAAAGTATAGTGGGGGCTGGGGATGTGGCTCAAGCGGTAGCGYGCTCGCCTGGCATGCGTGCAGCCCGGGTTTGATCCTCAGCACCACATACCAACAAAGATGTTGTGTTCACCAAATACTAAAAAAATAAATATTAAAAAAAAAAAAAAAGAGCCCTTTCTTCTAAAAAAAATAAATAAATAAAAAAAATAAAGTATAGCTTGATGTAGTGGCATGTACCTGTAGTCCAAGCTACTCAGGAGGCTGAGGCGGAGGGATTGCTTGAGCCCAGTGTTTCAAGGCTGGCCTGGGAGTTCTGGGCATCGTCATACTGAGACGATGCAACATAGACATATCTCAAAGAAAAAAAGCAAATACAAAAAAAGGAGGAGGAGGAGGAGAAAGAGAATAGGGAGGAGAAGGAGGAGGAAACACACATACACACAAACACACACACACAAACACACACACACACACACACACACACACACACACTCCCTGTCTTTTGCCATGTGATGTCCAGCACTGCCTCAGGACTTTGCTAATAAGAAGACTATCACCAGATGTGGCCACTGACCTTGGACCAGAACCATGAACAAAATAAACAAAAAAAAAAAAAAAGAAAAAGAAAAAAAATTAGCTGGGCACAGTGGCACACTCCATAATCAGTAATCACAGTGATTTGGGAGGCTGAGGCAGGACAATGGGCAGTTTGAAGCTACCCTTGGCAACTTAGGGAGACTTTGTTACAAAATGAAAAATAAAGAGAGTTGAAATGTAGCTCAGAGGTAGAGAACATCTAGGTTCAATTCCCAGTACTGGGGAAAAAAAAGTGATTAATATGTAGTAAAATTCACCCTTTTGAGCATATAGTTCTGTGAGATTTGTTTTTGTATTTTTGTTTGTTTGATAGTGGGGATTAAACCCAGAGGTGATTTACCACTGAGCTACATCTGCAGTCCTTTTTATTTGATTTTGAAACAAGATTTTGCTAAGTTGCTTAGAGCCTTGCTAAATTGCTGAGGCTGGCCTCAAACTTGTGATCCTCTTGCCTCAGCCTCCTGAGTCACAGGGATTACAGGTGTGTGCCACTGTGCCCAGATAGTTCTGTAAGTTTTGACGAGTGCATACAGTTCTGTATTCACAACCACAATCAGGACATGCAGAACACAGTGGGGCACTCCTGTAATCCCAGCAATTTGGGTGGCTGAGGCAGAAGGATCCTTGGCAACTTAGTGAGGATCCTTGTCTCAAAACTAAAAATAAAAAGGACTGCAGATGTAGCTCAGTGGTAAAGCACTGGTAGAATGCCCCAGTACTGGGGGGAGGAAAAAGAAAAGATATGGAACACATTCATCCTACCCTATTGGAAATTGAAAATAGTGCTGGGAGCATACCAAGAAGTACAAGCTGTTCAGCTTCAGTACTTTCCACACAGTTCTCCAAGGTCCTTACACCAACTCACCTTCCCACCAACAATTTCTAAGAGTCTTGTTCCACATTCTTGTCAAAATTGGCAAATTGTAGCTGGGCACAGTGGTACATGCCTATAATCCCAGTGACCTGGGAGGCCAAAGTAGGATGATCACAAGTTCAAAGCCAGCCTCAGCAACTTAGTAAGGCTCTAAGCAACTTAGCAAGACCCTGTTTCAA